AGAGGAGGAGGAGGAGGAGGAGGAGGAGGAGGAGGAGGACGGGGAGGAGGAGGAGGAGGAGGAGGAGGAGGAGGAGGAGGACGACGAGGAGGAGGACCAGCGAAAACGCAAGACGCATCAACGATGTTGCAATACCCCCTCACTCCAAGTTCCCTCGTCATGTGCTCCTACGAAAAAATAATTCCACTGCGGTGAAAGCCCCATTGGAAGACAACAATTTGAGAATCTTCAGTCGTACCCATCAACGTCGCGAATCAACGTGGCTGTTGCGTCCTGACGCTCGTACATCCTACCAGAACGGCGTTCCTGGGATCCCAACATCGCGAGTCAACGATACGGTGGCTTCCCGACGATCCTAAATCGTGCCAGGACACTGTTCCTGTGACGTCAGCCGTACGAATCTTCGAAGCTGCTGCGAACTTCTGAACACGTGTGGGCGGCGCTGCGCCGCGATCCACATGATGAAAATGGGGCCGCTCGCAGTCTTCGGAGCTGCGATCCGCTTTCAAGACGAGTGTGCACGGCGCCGGAACGAGAGCCAGATTCTGACAAGGACCCGCCTTTTTGATCCTTGAGCCTGCTGCGAACTCTGCAGACGGGTGTGCGCGGCGTCGAGCCGAGAGCCCCGGGGCCCGGCCTCCATCCTTGACGCTGTCGCGGGAGCTTCGGCGGCGCATGCGCGTGGCGCTTTCAGGCGAGCGCCACACTCTGAAGAGGACCCGGCCTCCATCCTTGAAGCTGCTGTTCAGTCGGGCCTGTCCCCCTACAGGGGGAAGATTCAGAAACAGTAGACAAATGGTCAGGGGTTGATTTTGGGAGCATCTTGTGACCATGCTGTTTTTTTTTCGCCCCAAATCCCCCTGCAGGGAGACACGCCCGACTGAAAGCTGCTGCGAGCTTCGCAGACGAATGTGCCCGGCGCTGAGGCGAGCGCCACATTTTGGGCGTTGCGTAATGGGGGGGTCATAAATGGGGGGGTGGCGAGAGTGGTCCGAAAAGGTACCCAAACGGTACCTAAACGAGCCCCCTGGGGCTCCGGAGGGGCCCGAAAGGGGCACGAAAGGGGACCGTTTCTGACCCCCCCCATTTATGACCCCCCCACTAAGCCACGCCCAAACATTGGCAGAAGGACTTGCCCTCCAACGGTGAAGCGGTCTGCGAACTTCGGAGCTTCGGGCGAAGCGTCCGGCCCGCCCTGCCGACACGTCCGGGGGAACGGAGGAGCTGTCTATGTGGAAAAGGGGCGGAGGAGGAGGAGGAGGAGGAGGAGGAGGAGGAGGAGGAGGAGGAGGAGGAGGAGGAGGAGGAGGAGGAGGAGGACGAGGGAGGAGGAGGAGGAGGAGGAGGAGGAGGAGGAGGAGGAGGAGGAGGAGGAGGGGAGAAGGAGGAGGAGGAGGAGGCCAGCGCTGCAGCGGGAGCACGTTTCGGAACGAGTGGTAGCCCGAGAATGAGGCCAGCGCTTCTGCGAGGGTGGCATTTTCAACAAACATCCAAGCTCGGAAGCGCGGAAATGAGGACGCGTAGCTTGACAGAGCATGCCGTGGCGACGCTCCAAAGGGGGGGGGGTGGCTTCTGCGACCCCAAAATTCAACGAATCGACTCCGAATGTGTAATCACTTCCGATGGTCTTTTCGGGGGGGCATTTTCTTCATTTTGGGGCCATTCGGAAGGACCGAAAACCATGCCGTGGCATGGCGCTGAAAATCATTGCGCCAGCGCTGCAGCGGGAGCACGATTCGGAACGAGCGGAAGCGCGGAAATGAGGCCAGCGCTGCAGCGGGAGCACGATTCGGACCGAGCGGTAGCCCGAAAATGAGGCCAGCGCTTCAGCGAGAGCAGCATTTTCAACAAACACCCAAGCTTGGAAGCGCGGAAGGGAGGACGCGTAGCTTGAAAGAGCATGCCGTGACGACGCCCCAACGTGGGGGGCTTCTGCAGCCCCCCAAATCAACGAATCGACACCGAATGTGTAATCACTTCCGATGGTTTCGTCGGGGGGCATTTTTTTAAAGATTTTGGTGCCTATTTGGAAGGACCGAAAACCATGCCGTGACATGGCGCTGGAAATAATGGTGCCAGCGCTACAGCGGGAGCACGATTCGGAACGAGCGGAAGCGCGGAAATGAGGCCAGCGCTGCAGCGGGAGCACGATTCGGAACGAGCGGTAGCCCGAAAATGAGGCCAGCGCTTCAGCGAGAGCGGAATGTTGAAAAAAGCGCAAGCGAAAACCCAACTCCTGGGAATCCCGTGTGTAAAAAAATAGGCGGAGGGGGGCCGAACAATCCCGGACGCCATCAGCGGAGAGAGGAGAGCAGTATTCATATTGTTTAATTATGGTGGAGGAGGAGGAGGAGGTCCAGTGTAAACCCAAGACCCATCAACGATATTGCAATAACCCTCCCTCCAAGTTTCCTTTTCACAGGCTCCTGTACGGATTCATGTTCACTGAGGGAAATGCCCCGTTGGAGGACAGCCGTTTGAACATCCGGAATTGTAGCAGAAAGCCAATCCTGGGGCTTCAACGCCGCGAGTCATAGTTACTGTAGCGTCTTGACGAGCCTGAATCGTGCCAGATCACCGTTCCTGGAATTTCAACACCGCGAGTCATCGTGACTGTGACGCCCTTGCATTCCGACATCGTGCCACAACACCATTTCTGGGACATTGACCATGCGAATCGTTGAGACAGCTGCAGACATATCTGAAACTCCTGCGAACTCTTAAGACGAGTGTGCACGGCGCTACAGCGAAAACCACATGATGAAAAGGAACTGCCTTCCATCTTTGAAGCTCCTGCGAACTTTGAGACGAGTGGGCGCGGCGCTGAGACGAGAGCCGCCTTTTGACAACGGGCCGCCCCCCCCATCCGCGAAGCTCTTGCCTTTTCCTACGACGAGCGTGCGCGGCGTTGAGGCGAGGGCCACCTTTTGAAAACCGGGCCGCCCTCTATCCGTGAAGCCCCTGCAAACTCTTAAGACGAGTGCGCGCGGCGTTGAGGCGAGAGCCACATTTTGAAAGCGGGCCGCCCTCCATTCGTGAAGCCCCTGCAAACTTTTAAGACGAGTGCGCGCGGCGTTGAGGCGAGAGCCACATCTTGAATGCGGGCCGCCCCCCATCCGTGAAACTGTTGCAAATCTCGAGCTTCAGGATCACACGAAACGCACGGCCCGCCCTTCCGACCGGCTTCGAGGTGTGACGAGGAGGAGTTATCTATAGGGAAATGGCATGGAGGAGGATGGACCTCCAAGACCTTCAAGGACCAGAAGCAGTGTGTCCAAACGGTCACTGCGCAGTGTGACGAGGAGACAGCCGCGGCGGCAGCACAATAATTAAGGTGAAGCTCCCGCCTGCTCCTCGAAGGAGACCGGGCCGCGCCTCGGAGTGACGAGCTCGGTGCGCCGGAGCTGTCCCAGCTCGAGCCTCCTCGAGGCAGCACGCTGGGCTGCTTTGCGGCGTGCGGCCTCGGCTCGGTGGCGTTCAGGCCCCTCCCTCTGGCTGCTGGTGAGCCGGAGCCCCCTGCCCCAAAGCGGGGGGAGGGGGGGTAGGATGAAGTCGGGCGTGTCCCTGTCCCTCTACAGGAGGAGTATCCAAAGATAGTCGGAAAATAGTCCGGGGACGATTTTGCTTTGACAACTTTTGACCATGTGGGGGCAATATTTTGGATCATTTTTTTTTTTTTTTTTTTTTTTTTTTTTTTTTTTTTTTTTTTTTTTTTTTTTTTATTTTTTCGTCCGTCCAAAGTCCGCCTGTAGGGGGGCGTGCCCGACGTAAGGGGAGGAGGGGGTCCGGGGGCAGGGGCTCAGCCCTCCGGGAGAGCGGGGGCCGCCGGGCTCGACGGAGGGGTCGAGAGGGAGAGGCTGAGGCTGGGAGGACGCCAAAGGGTACACATCCCAGACCCCCTCGAGTAATGAAAAAATCATGACGGGATGTTTTTCCTAATTTTCGGCCTCTGGGGGCCCTCACCGGGCCTCGGGAGCGTCAAAAAACGACTCAGGATGCAAAGCCGGTCATGGGGAAAGGGTCCAGACCTCTGGGGGTCGACGTAATGAAAAAAACATTACGTCGGGGGTCTGGGATTGTTCATCTCTAGCTCTTCGAAAGTTCTCTGATGTTTTGGGGGGCCGAGGTCCTTTCATCTCCAATTCTCCTATCCTGGCCCTCTTCCTGGCCACCAGGGGGCCAGGAACTATACAGAAACGAGCCCAATTAGAGGTGAGCACGAGGAGAAACGGACGACGTGCAGTCCTCATTTCCAGGGTCTGGGGGCGGAGGGTGGTGAGAGGGAGGGAGCCCGAAGGTCGAGCCTCGTGCCGCGGGCTCGCCGTCGTCCGTGTCGCGAGGGCTTGTGCCAGCTCTTCCCCTTCCGCCCGGCGGCTCTCCTCAGGGAGCGGCACTCTCCCAAGGAGGGTCCAGGAAGTCGACGACGCTGGGTGAAATCTCCCTGCACATGTCTTCGGGATGCCGTTTTTGGGGAGCAGTCCTGAGCCTACCCCCCCTCCTCATCCTTTCTCAGTAGCACCTGATGAGCCCGGATACCGTGATCGCAGCGCCCCTGGTTACCTCGTGCCAGGATCCTGGAATTTCTTGGCGCCGCGCTAGGACGAGAGCCACATTTTGAAAACTATCCGCCCTCAATCCATGAAACTCTTGTAAACTTTAAAACGAATGGGCGCCGCGCCGGGACGAGAACCACATTTTGAAAACGACCCGCCCTCCATCTGTGAAGTTGTGGCCATTGTTTAAGCCTCAGAGGCATCAATGGTGAGGAAGTCTCGGGCGAAACGCCCGGCCCGCCCTAAAAACTGGCCTCGGGGTGCGACAGGGAGAAGTTGCTTATAAGGAAAAGGAATGGAGGAGGAGGAGGAGGAGGAGGAGGAGGAGGAGGAGGAGGGAGGAGGAGGAGGAGGAGGAGGAGGAGGAGGAGGAGGAGGAGGAGGAGTTGGAGGGACATTAGGAGGAAGAGCAGAATAAGGCATAGGAGGAGCTCTCCCTGCGGATAGGCGACGACGTTGTCCTTCTCCTGCAGATCTGGCCCGACAAGGAGCACTGGCCGGAGGCGCTCCACGGGGGGCGGCGCGACGGGCCTGACGCCGACAAGGAACGTCATCGTCGTGGTCGTCGTCGTGGTCGTCGTGTTCGCCGTCGTCGTCGTCGTCGTCGTCGTCGTCGTCGTCGGCGTCGGCGTCGGCGTCGGCGTCGGCGTCGGCGTCGGCGTCGGCGTCGGCGTCGTCGTCGTCTTCGTCGTCGTCCTCGTCGTCGTCGTCCTCGTCGTCGTCGTCGTCGTCGTCGTCGTCGTCGTCGTCGTCGTCGTCGTCGTCGTCGTCGGAGGCATGTGCGTCGTGGCGCTACCCTCCTCCGCCCAAGCCAGACCCCTCGGGCCAGCCCCACGCAACGCTGGGCGCCATTCGTGTGGACAGGCTCCGTGCATATCTCCTCTCGCGACTGTGGTGTCACGGCCGGCGGAGGAACACGTGTGTATATATATATATAGATAGAGCTTGCTGGATGGCTTTCCGAAGGTCCGACTTTCATCCAGCCTCGTCTCGACAACAGCGCGTGTGCTCGTTCTGGCTCGAAATCACCCGGCGGGGACTCGTTGTGGCCACCACGGCGTGCCGCGCCGAGGCGTCCACTGGGCCTCGTCCAGGCATCGCTGCCCCTGGCGCTGCTGGGTTCCCTGGCGGCGTGCTGGCGTCGGGCGGCTTGGCTGTGCGGTGCGCGGCACGGGCCCGAGGTGCTTCGGGCCGTCTTCGCCGCGGAGAGCCAGGGACTCGCCGCGGTCGGCTCGGGTGCGCCGGCGGCTGGGCGCTGGACCGGGTCTGCGCCGCACGCGTCCGCCTCGCTCGGCAGTTCCTTGCTTGCTCTCGCGCGGGAGCGTCTAGAGCAGGCGGCACGAGGACCTTTTGGGTATCGTACGTGGGCCAGCGACGAAATGGGCCAGCGGCGGGCGCGCCTCGAAAGTCGCGCGTTGCCGCAACATGAGCCGCCAGTGCGTGGACCGCGCGTCGGGCTGAGCATCACTACATCGCACTAGGCCGCGCGAAATAGCACAAAACGCAGACCACCAGTGCTAAAACAGGCTCCCATGATCTGCCACCTAACTGAGCTTCTGCCCACGGGCCTGCCGTTCTGCGGCCCAGGCTGCGAGGACTTGGTCGCCGCGGGGCTCGGCAAGCCGAGAGGGCGCCTCGACGCGAGCTCGCATCCGCCTCAAGCGCTCTCGAGCGTACGCTCGTGGAGAACGACGTTGGCGGGAGGCGTGCCCATGGCGCTGGGGCGCCGTCGTGACCGCTCATCGGCCGTGGCGGCGATTGGGTCGAAGTCTTGGTCGGCGGGTGCCGCATAAGGTCTACAGCCTGGGCCAGGCCCCTGGCGTGACTGGCACGACCTTCGTCTGGTTGCTCGCATTTTTGTGCGGTCGTAGTGCCGCTTGCCGGGGGAGCGGGGTAATCGCGGGTCAACTGGGTGTGTGCGCCGCCTCGCCGTGCCGCCCGCTGGAGCCCCAACCAGGCCTCGGTGGCCACCCTGTGTCTGGAGGCAGGGGGCATCGCTGCGCCGCTGGCCGCCTCCCGACGAACCTCTGGCGGCCGTCGAGGGGCTGCAGGCCGCGGCGCTGCCAGCATCACATGCCCCTGGGAGGCCCGCCGCCGCTGGCGCGGGGGGTCGGGCGAAGAGAACTATGCACATGCACCGGTCCTGACAACGTCCATCCCTGACCCAGGATCGGTGCATATACTTTCCTGGCCAAGGCAAGAGGGCGTATGCACCGATCCTGGGCTCAGGATGGGCCTGGCCAGAATCGGTGTATGTGCATAGCTCTCTTTCCTCTACCCCTCCTCCTCCTCCTCCTCCTCCTCCTCCTCCTCCTCCTCCTCCTGCTCCTGCTCCTCCCTTCTTCTTCTCCTCCTCCTCCTCCTCCCTTCTTCTTCTACTCCTCCTCCTCCTCCTCCTCCTCCTCCTCCTCCTCTGCCTCCCAAGAAGTGGCATAAACATAACAACTCGGAGGTCCGCGCTGGACCTGGCGTCGATGCTCCAGGCAGGGGGCCACATGCGAACCCTACCCCTACCCCCCCCGATTTCTGAGGGGGGGAGGGTGGGGTTCACTTCGCTCGGGAGCTCCCGAGCGAAGTGAACCCCACCCTCCCCCTCAGAAATCGTTGGGGGCAGGGGTAAGGTTCGCGTGTGGCCCCCTGCCAGGAGGTGCGGCAGAGCATCTCCCAGTGACACGCAGAACAACAGGGGAGCAAGAAGTGACATAAACATAACAACTCGGAGGTCCGCGCTGGACCTGGCGTCGATGCTCCAGGCAGGGGGCCACATGCGAACCCTACCCCTACCCCCCCCCGATTTCTGAGGGGGGGAGGGTGGGGTAAGGTTCGCGTGTGGCCCCCTACCAGGAGGTGCGGCAGAGCATCTCCCAGTGACACGCAGAACAATGGGGGAAGAAAAAGAGACACAAGCATAAAAACTCGGAGGTCCGCGCGAATTTCTCGGATCGGC